AGCAGTTTTCATCTTCCTTGCATAGGTGAGAGTTAGGAGGCAAAACCATGTGTTATTGTGTGCTTCCTCCGTTGCATGTGTCGCTTCTTTCGAGAAAACTATATATCATTGTAGTATTTTGATTCGTGTTCAAAGTGATAGAAACTGTTTTGCAAATTAGCCCTTTTTAGCTCCATACACTAACTCGGATGCTGGGCAACGCATTTGAAAGCGGAATATTTCCATGCCTTCAACCAGAAAATCGGAAGGCGCTGCTCCTTGTCGTTTGACACACAATCGGTATGAGCTTTCGAATATAATTATTCGTGTTAGGCAGCTTCAATGACCGCTTATCCTGACCGCTTCGGGTCGCAGAGGCAGAAGCGTCGGACAATATTTCCAAAGTCCTCGTTCCAGTGCCTGCGCTTTAGCTTCGGAAGAAGATAACCCGGGTCTGAAGCAGAACCCTTCAAGACATTATACCCAGGTTAATCTTGGCCGTTCCGTTGGTATTCTGCCGGTCAGCTGGGCAAGTAGTGGTTGCTTAGTCGTCCTTTCTGGAGGCATTCGCAACATGCCCAGACCATCGGAGCTGTGACTTCTCAATGTGAAGAACCAACGGCTGTATACCAAGGCTATCTGGGAGATCTGTGGTCGTTTGTGGGTCTCTGTTTGGGCCGTTTTATGAAACCCAATGTCCGAGTTGATCTGATAGTTTTTTTGACTAGTCCTCGTTAGCGCCGTTCGTGAACCGGTTGAACCATCGTACTCTGACAATATTTGAGTGCTGTTCGAAGTTGTATGGACGAACTTCATGACGCTTCAGCATGGCAGGTGTTTCGAGATTGTTTTAATATTAAGCTGCTTAAGTCACAGCTCCTTTAGAAGGCTGTGCTGTTGGACATGGCTCAACATATCCAATACCAAACATGTTTTTTCTTTCCCGCAGTGGATGGTTTACGAATGTTATAGGTGCCCAAAAACCGTGTACCCCGTCAGTTGCTGATCACAGCAGTAAGTACAGCAAACATGATTACTAATATTACAGATCAATAATAATCATAATAAACCACCGTCGTTGATTTATAGCATACTGTATGAACGGTTTCTCGTTGACCGCTGTTGCAGAAGCGGTGAATCGTTTGCTAACGTTCTAGCGGCTTTGACAGACACGGACCCAGATGCTGAGAGACTTTTTGAAACAGAGGTGTTTCTCATCCTTAATGCACTGTTTTTTTGATGTTGTTAAAAATTCTGCTCCTCATCGCTTTTGCTGTCCGGGATCGTTCAAAGCGACCACGTTTGCGAAATGGAAGCCTGGCGCCGTTCGGTCGAGTACCGGTGGTCGTCGCCGATTTCCTTCGCTCCTGAGCCGCAGGCGAGTCAAACGTCCGGTTACCGCCGGCTCACAGTCCTGTTCTTGGAGATAAACGGGTCGAAGATCAGTTAGGTGCTTACCTCAGGGTCGCAGTTTTCCAAACAGGGCTTCACGCGTCCCTTGTAATAAACCCGGTTCGAATCAGGAAACGCGAAAAACTTTATTCTTGATCTCATGGTTTCGTCGTCTACCCTCACGAACTCGCCGACAAGGTCCTTATGTACCGAGCATCTAAATGCGAACTTTGATCGGAAACGATATAAAATGCATGGTTTCGTTCCTGAAAACGAGAATTACATCGATTAACACGCATTAATATTCATCGGCCCTGACGTCACAACCTAAGGGCGTATGCTACCGGATGTGTCTGTATGACTGCTTTTCTGAGAGGTCACGTGAGGAGTGCCAAAACTTATGAGAATCTTGAGGTTTTTACTTATGTTTACTCGTCTAAGGACCAGTCTAATAATAAGAAATTTTTGTCTGACAAACTCAGTTGGTTTTTTCCTCTTCCTGAATAAGTTGGCCATTCAGATTGTTTGTCCTGATGACGGCTGATGTAGTTTGGCTCAAACATCGGTAGTTATTGTAAAGACTTCCATTCGTATGTTTCGTTGTGTCTACAATTTTGAATGCTTATTTACGAAGGAAATTGATCTGTTGATCGGATAAAACGGTAAGGTTTCGTAGCACCCACGTAGAAATGTCGATCTGCCCCCTTTCACTACTTGCCATAGTCTGTTAGTCGATGAAAAAGAGGATCTTCGTAGCAGGGCTGTTTTATGAACGATTGAAACAATTTGCTTTCCGTTTGTACATTCGCTTAGTAAACGCAGCTTCGTCGTTTGATCCTCATTCAGTCAGTTCTATGTACCTTATGAGAAGGGAGGTAGGAGTATCATACTGTTAATAGAAATACGATGGATATGTATCCTGACCAGTATCTTCGCTCCAATGCAGCAATGTTGAGGAAAGAAGCTCGAGATTTTGCGCTTGCCCCGTAGCTCTTGATCGATCAAGCTTACGTGCCTGAGCAACGGCAGGTGTTATCGGTATGGAATGGTCTGATAACAATTTGTGAATGACTGACGAAAATTTGTAACGCATTAATTAATTAGTTTTTGCTCTTGCTGTGTCATCAATACCTGTTTACAATCAGTTTATTTTGTTTTTCCAACTGCCTGAGACGGTGGTAAGAAATGGCAAAGCTGGAAAGCGATAGAGATTTATAGGGCGAGAATGGCCGTGAAATGGTAAGAGGTGTCGAACCCCATCGCCGCTTTCGAGAAATCACTAATCCACACCCTGGAGACCAACTCCCATGGCACACAACTTTTCCATTGACTTGAAAGTTGCATTTGATACTGTAAATCGTCTGTCGATGTGGAAGATCCTGTAGCCTTACGACGTTCCATCTTAGTGATCATGCTTGAGAACAGGTACAGTGAATTGTGCGTGTTAGTGAAAATAGAAGCAAACTATCTGAATGACTTTATGTCAGAAATGGTGTGAAACAAGACGACATTCTTTCGCCAATACTCTATGGTATTGTCATCGACTGAGTAATGAGGCAACGCATCAACAACCTCAGTAGAGAAGGGCTGATCTAAAGCCAATGGCCGAGCTGAAGATATCCATCCGTATTCCCGTGGATTTCGATTACGCGGAGGAGATGATACTGCTCAACGATTCCAGTGGTGATCTGCTGTGGCTACTAACAGGGGTGGATCAAACCGCTGCTGAAATGACAGGCCTCAGACATGAGCGGGAAAAAAACCAGAGTGATGAGAAAGGCCGAAATAACAGTACAAAACAATAGAGTCTTGTGGCTCTAGGTTTGGAGAAAGATTGAAAGAACTTAATCGCTGCAGATGTATTGGCTGTATAGCTACGAACGACCGCCTCTGCGGCATGGAGGTGAATAGGAGAGGTGATTTGGTAGCAGCTGCATTTGAAAACATAGAAGAAATACAGTGGGCGACGAAAATAAAGACTCTCTCGTTTGTCTCCCATCTCAATGTTATCGTACGGCCTTATTAAAAACATATGAGCGTCCTTGTAAGAATTTTGTCTACGCCACATCCTCAACACTCATTATTCCAACGAAGAACTAAGAGGATCTGCAAGAGTTGGTTCACTGACGCAGAAACGACTAATATCATGGTGTGATAACGCCATGTACAATGACAGCACACATGTCGGTTGCCTCCATATCTTTCGGATGCACTTTGCAGCTATTAGTATATAATTATCTATGGTGTTTCGAAAGCCAACATGAGAATGTACAGCAATTAAATACTTATTAACCGACCCTCGTTCGTCGTACAGCACCAAGTCGTTTCCTTCCTTGAGGTCCGTTGCCGTCAAATCCGTGACCTTGAACGACGCTTGTTTTCCTACGCGTAAAATATATTAATCGCACATGAGCAGGCGGTGATTTTGGTATAGCGGTTTACTGAACGGGCTAATGAACTTCACTTCCAAGTATCCCTCGTCGCCCGTGTTCACCAATGAGGTCGGATTCAACGCCTCGTCGAGGATTGACAGTTCGAAGCGGCCGGAGCTGGAGCGGGAGTCTTCCGAAGAAATGACCCGCACTTTCTGGCTTCTGAAATTCGTGCATATCTCAGGTGAACGAACGACGTGAGTGCCATCACTAAGTGTGAAGTGATTACAAATTGTCCGGTTGAACTTTGACGTGGTAATTCAAGCGCTGCTGAGTTCCGGGGTCCATTTGGCACAGCAGCTTCACCCGTCGATCGGAAGCAGTTACCACCTGGCTGCCAATGTGTTTCAGTTCCACTATGTTCATGTAATGGCCCGTGGTCTGTAAAGTACGTTCGTCATACGCGAGCAAATCCTCACACACCCCTTGTCACTGACTCACCTCTCGTACGGTGCCGCATTCCTTGTATGGCATGCTGAGGGAGGCGTTCCAGGCATTCCTGATCTCTGTCCGACATTTTTCGTCGTCAAAAACCGACAGCAGGTGACCGTTGAGCAGTTTAAGACTATTCGCGTTCACTGACATCGCCCTTTCGGTGCACGCCAGCGTAACTGCAACAAGTTCCCTTTATTATACATGCTGCTAATGGTTTAGAGAATGGCTCCAGGAAAGGCATCGCGCACTGCTAACAGTACTCACAACGCTTTACAATGTCTTACCACGCTTGAATTTTACCGCTGTCTACTCCTTATGACATAACAGCGATATACCTGAGTTTAAAACCTAAAGTTTACGATTAATAGAGTATATTCAACGAGCCTAGTTGCAAGCCATTTGACGCATCCTCAGGTGCGAATAAGGGAACGACCCGACGCTAGAGAGATTTGTTATGACGAATAAACAGCCGTTCAAAATAATCTGTATATACTCTATCAGAACGTAGCCTGCGAAAGGCTCAGACAGATCCATCGCCTATAAATGTAACTGCCACATGTAACCGTATGACGGTCCGTGACGAAGTGAGAATCACCTCTTAGCAGTGCCAACGGTTGCCTTGTGGTAGATTAGGGAAAGTCAAAGATTAGAAGCGGCAACTTCTACTTCATAATAAATTGAACAGTAGTTGGGTAGTGGTCTGCATAAACGAACCCCACTGAACTCTATGCAAAATAATACTAATTTGCCTCAGCGATAACACTTGCGATTGCAACAGCACTAACAACAACAGTAGAGTGTGTACCTACGAATCTACGGACATCCGATGCTGTTCGATCATGCTTTGTTCTACCCAACAAAGTGGCCCTGTTTTGAGCCAGTGCTTAAAGACCAGGTAGCCATTGTCTCTTTTAACGACTACACTGTATGAATTCGGATTATGGCATTACATCCAACAGAAATTTCATTCTTGTGGCTGGTATCGAAAACGATCAATTTCTTAGTAAACTCTTAATGACAGGTTTGTTTGGTATAATAGTGTTAGTACTGTTGAATATCTTAAAAGACGATCTAATTGATCCAGATATTGCTGAAAAGGGGGCTGACGCCCCTTTTCAACAGTGATTTCTTAGGGTGGGTCACCAACAACGCCACCAATTTGTCCTGTATTTTTGCTGTAACTTCTGCTTGTTTGAAAGTGTATGTGACGTTGAGCTGAAGTCGATAACGGTTACTCTTCTGTCTTACTGCTTTAGCATTGTCCTGAGTGGGTAATTGGTTTTTTTACAGTATTAGCCCCAATTTATGCAATTCATATTAAACTTGCTTTGTTTCAGACATTTCCGTGTACACGTAAATTAAATAAATTAAAAATTAAGCCCTGCGCCACCTGCTGCAGATCTTGAACCATTGACGGGAAAGAATCGGTAGTTACTGTTCATGTTAACCCGATCCAACGAGATGAACCTAATCTACTTTTCTTAACAGAAGATGACTTTAGGCGCGATAGATTTTTATAACTTAATTTCGACGTTTCGGCTTCTGA